TCGATTTGCTCAATGACTGACGACTTAAAATGTAATAATGTTTAATAACAATAATACAATGAAAGTTAAATAAATATGTGTATGTACAAAAAAAATATATATATACATTTTTTGGTTGCGGTTGAATTAACACTAATCTGTCTGCCATTTCGTTTTTAATTGTTTTACTCTTTGTTTTTTTTGTGGTCTTTTTTTATTTTTGCCTTTATTTGCTGCTGCTGTGGTTTTCTTTGGTATTATTTAATGATGTTGATGGAATTGATATAGTAAATATTTGGATATTGAAAAACTCAATTTGATAATGGTTAAACTAAAAACAAGGTCATGATTAAACAAACAAAAAATCAAGATTAAATACAAACACATATAAAAAAGTAAATAATATAGAAAATAATTTACATTATAATAAAATCGTTATTAGTGCATTTTTTAAATAGCTATGAAGGTCATTTTAATTATAGTACGTAGCAATGAAGTAAATAATATTGATTGCTAATATGAGAGGGACAATTGGGGCAATATTAGTTGTGAATCACATCGCAATTACTTTCAATTTAAAATGTCAAGCATGGACAGAACATCTTCCCAAGATGGTGTTGGAATGTAAACAACTTTTATTACTGACGCTGGCTAGATGCACAGACTATGACCAAGATTACGGATTCAGTAGAATATATAATTATTATTCCAAAACTTGGCATTCCTTGCCACCTATAGGTATCGGCAAGTAACAATAATTCGGTACACGTTTTGACATCAATCTTTTTGAAATGTTTGACAAAAATTATTTAAGACCAATGAAAACATTTGGCGTTATATACTAAATGAGGTCTGATGGAGTATATTGTACCAGAAATATTATTTTAAATGTCGACTGCGTAAGAAAAATAAATAAATCGATCTAATAATATGAAGGACGGAGATTCGAATAGAGGAATAGCATATCGAAATTTTTAGAAGTAATTTAAATTTTAATTTTTTCATTCATTTTTTTCAAATGTTCTCATTAAAATATTCTTACAAGTCCTGGAAATGGATGATAGAAGATATTTTTAAAGGAAAAAAATATAAAATAACATTCAATTTATAAAAGTCTTTCTCCTGGTTTTTAGATTGTATTCTGGTAATCCATATAACAAATGTTGTCTAAAATTCTTCGACTGAATAACAGAAGACACTCTTCCTATAGAGGTAGCTCTTTTGCAGACATAATTGGATACTTTGTAAATGTTTTCAATAGAATGAAGACCTTTAAAGGGTAATTTACATATTAAACGATATGGAAGACGATTTGCCAAGAAGTCTTCTAAAAATAGTAAACCGCATAGCAGTCTTCTATAGGCCGATAACTTCATACAAAGCACCAATAGTCTTAAATCCCTTTACAGGTGGTCAATGTAAACATTTTCTATAGCTCAAAGACCCTATTCGAGATAAAATACATTTTAAAAGTTTTCCATATAAGAGTCATTTATATACTAAACAATGAAGAAGAAGATTTGAAAAAAGTCTTCTAGAAATAGAAAACCCCCTTCAACTCTTCTATATACCGCTAAATTCATACAGAGCATCTATAGTCTGAAGACCTTTTATAATTCGTCAATAAAAAATGTTTCTATAGATAAAAGACCCTGTAAGATACCTTCATACATTTTAGTGTGATTGTTATTCTTACTTCGGAGAACTTTCACAGTTGACAGGATTGCATATATGGAGACCAAAGGTCTTCTATAAACTAACTAATCTGCAAAAGTACTTCTATCTTTAGACGACTTGCAAGAAGCCGAAAATCTTCGTAGAAGATGTTCAAATGAAACCCTAAAAGTATTAAATTTGGAATACATATATTCTAAACATAGAGGATACAACAAAAAATATTTCGTCTACAAATGGTCAGCATTCAGATTTTCTTTGGACATATAAACTATAAAGTTTTACTTTATATACATGACTAGCAAAGGGTATTCATAAATAGCAACTATGGATCTTTCATTGAAGAGTTAACCATTAATTGAAAATTCTACTTTATTACTTGAAGTCTCGTTTATTGATTTTCTATAGTAATTTTTTTAGAAACGGAGTCTTGAATTTATTATAAATAACTCCGAAGAAATCTTCAAAAAGCAATATGGCCTTCCACAGATCTTATGTAACTAAAAAAACTATTTAAGGACTTCTATAACTAGAATGTCACTTTTGTCTGGAAATTCTTCGGAAAGCGTACCAGAGGTCAGACTACTTGAAACAGTACTTCTATACATAAAACGGGAAGAAGGGAGTATATGCAGAAGTCCACAATCCTAAAATGTTAACAAGCAATATCATTTGTAGATGGACTTCTATCTCCGCAAGATTAACAGATAACAAATTCGTAGAATATGTCCTAAAAATTATTCTATTTATACAAGTGCCGCATTAAGCCATGGTTATAATTTGTCTTGGTATTTAAATTTGGCGGTCCTACTTCACATAAAATAAATTGTATTCATAATGAATGCTAGATTTTCTACAGATTTTCTGTTAGTTAACTGACCCTATTACAGTGTGAAGATATTTTTATTGATCTTATAGATATATTTTAAGGATATATTTATAAGTTGAAGGCCTTTTTTAAATGCTGTAAGATCTCCCACAGGCCTTTGTGTAACTTCCAAAGTATTTCAGAAGCTAATGATCTCCATGAAGAACTACATAAGTGTTCTATAATTCGATTACAAGTCTTTTTTAACAGTTTTTCATTGATTGGATTATATTACCTGATGTTTCAAAGGCCTTCCACATGTCTTCTACAAATTCCTAAAGATTTCTAAAGCTATATGACCTTCCACCGGTCTTATTTTACCAAAAGAAGTCTTCTGACAGATCTTTTTTAGTATTCATAGTTTAAAATATAGTTCTTTGATGATTTAACTCCATTTTTCTACATTTAATTAGAATGACCTTCCACAGGTCTTCCCCTACTGGGAATATTGTAATTGAAAAATTTATAGTTACTGAGAATTTACAGGTACATATATTAATAAATTAACAAAAACTAATAGGCCTTTTTATATAGGACTTTTCAATCAATCATTCAACTTCTTCACTTCGATATTCTAATGTTCTTCTGTCATTGCAGAATTTGAAAATGTATTCTTCCAGACCAATTGGTTGAAGATCTTTCACAGGCATTCAATTTGGAAACTTCCGGAACGTATAGTCAATATTTCAAGATTCCGCCAAATGCACATAATAACGATTTTATTTTGTTGCTTGATGTTATAAATTACAAAAGATACTCCATAACCAAGGGATGAAAATGAATGCCTAGAGATGGGCAGTGGGTAAATACCCAAAGGGTAAATACCCGGTAAATTGGGTAAATACCCGGTAAATTGGGTAAATACCCATTTGTGGGTATTTATTTGGGTATTTACTATATTGAATCGGTAATACAACATCTTGCACCCTATTTCCGGGTTTCTGTTATCAAATCGATTTAGAATGGATAGTTTTACGATACTTTAAAGACGTGGGTAAATACTTGGGTAAATACCCGATTTTTTTACCCAAAAATTGGGTATAAACTCATTAACTGCCGAACCACTTGACATAGGCGGCCAAAATTTTGCACACATGTTTCTAATGACAAAGCAAATATAGAAATCCAACATGGGGACCCTGGGTCCAAGTTTTGATATCGCCCCCATATAACCGTATCTCCCGATTTAAGGTATTTTTTGCCTATTAGACACATTTTAAGGCCAAATTGGCTGTAATTTGGCACAGAGTGTTCTTTTTGGGTACCCAATGTCCATGCAACATTTTATGTATGTAGGTCCACGTTTACTGGTAGCCCCCATACAAAGGTACCCCTATTTTGAGTATTTACCCAAAAATTGGGTATAAACTCATTAACTGCCGAACCACTTGACATAGGTAGGTACAAATTACAGCCAATTTGGCCTTAAAATGTGTCTAATAGGCAAAAAATACCTTAAATCGGGAGATACGGTTATATGGGGGCTATAACAAAACTTGGACCCAGGATCCCCATGTTGGATTTCTATATTTGCTTTGACATTAGAAACATGTGTGCAAAGTTTTGGCCGCCTATGTCAAGTGGTTCGGCAGTTAATGAGTTTATACCCAATTTTTGGGTAAATACTCGGGTATTTATCTCCCGATTTAAGGTATTTTTTGCCTATTAGACACATTTTAAGGCCAAATTGGCTGTAATTTGGCACAGAGTGTTCTTTTTGGGTACCCAATGTCCATGCAACATTTTATGTATGTAGGTCCACGTTTACTGGTAGCCCCCATACAAAGGTACCCCTATTTTGAGTATTTACCCAAAAATTGGGTATAAACTCATTAACTGCCGAACCACTTGACATAGGTAGGTACAAATTACAGCCAATTTGGCCTTAAAATGTGTCTAATAGGCAAAAAATACCTTAAATCGGGAGATACGGTTATATGGGGGCTATATCAAAACTTGGACCCAGGATCCCCATGTTGGATTTCTATATTTGCTTTGACATTAGAAACATGTGTGCAAAGTTTTGGCCGCCTATGTCAAGTGGTTCGGCAGTTAATGAGTTTATACCCAATTTTTGGGTAAATATTGATAACAGAAATCCGGAAATAGGGTGTAAGATGTTGTATTACCGAGTCAATATAGTAAATACCCAAATAAATACCCGCAAATGGGTATTTACCCACCCCTTGGGTATTTACCCGGTAAATACCATCTCTATGAATGCCAAAACCATAAAAAAGAAAGAATAATTGGATTAATTCAAAATTATTGCAAAACATATAAAATATTTGTATATATACACACACATAAAAAATTACATAAAGCTTAACATAAAATACAAAAAATGAATAAATAAATTGAAAGGGTTAAATTGCAACAACACAAATAAAACCAATTCGAAATTAAACACAAATAAATATTTTAAAATAAAAAGAATACAAAAACAAAAAAAATTAAAACACAAAATAATAAGTCTTACCATCATTACTCAACGTATTCGGAGAAGAAGAGGAAGCAGATTGCAATTGCTGGGTCATACTATCAATACCGAGTTTGCGCATACCATTTTTAATTTCTTCCAAATCTTCACTATCCATTGTGGTTTGGAAGTTATCGGAAACAAATTCCGATTCAGAGGTCGATTCTAAACGTTTGATCACCCTTTGTGGTTCTTGGGTAATGGAAGCGAATGAAGAAGAAGTAGAAGATTCGGATTTGGTGGCATCATTTTTATTGGCGTTAGTGGAAACAGAAGAAGCGGAAGATGATGATGCTGTTTGTTGGGAATTTAATTTTGAGCTCTCAACGGAAGTGGTGGTTTCTTGAGATTTAGAAACTTTGGCTAATTTATTGATTGGGTTGTTTTTCACGGGGTTTCCATTTTAATTTTGATTTCAATTTATTTTTTTTTTAATTTATAAATTTTTATTTATTATTTTTTTTTTTTTTTTGTAGACAATTGAGTTTTGTATGTTGTGGTGTTGTGTTCGGTTTTGTTGGAGTCGTGTAGTTTTTTTGAATTTCAGTTTCAAATTCATTAATTAAAATAAATCCAAATTAAATCGATAAAACAAAAGAGTAGAGTAACCAAAATCATACATGAAAATAAAAAAGAAAACATAATAATAAAAATTATTTAAAAAAAATGTAAATAATAATAAAACTTAAAAATATAATAAAATTGTGCAGAATTTTCAATTTTCAAAACAAAAATCACAAAACTTAGCTTAGAAGGAAAACAATTAAAGAAAAGACAAAACAAATGTGGGAGTAAATGATTACAAAACAATTTAAAGAAATATAACTTTAGAAACAGAGCAGAACAAAAAGAAAACGTTACAGATTTATATGAGAACGTTAAGAGGCATTTCTCTTTTGGTGTTTTTTTTTCTTGCTCACAAATCAGTGTTAGTTCAGAGTCTAAGATTGAGTTTTAATTTTTCTTTTTTTTCGATTTTTTGCCAAACTTAGACAGACAGTTATAGTATAAATTAAACAGAGATCAAGAGAGCGAGAGAGAGAGAGGAGGAGTAACAGGATATAAGAGATAGTTTTTTTTAATTTTCGAACGTTATAGCATGTGTGCTTGAATTGAATTTTACAGTGCGTTCGCGTAACTTTTGAAAGAACCAAAAACAAAAAATTTACCAAAAACCAAATAATAAAGCTATAAATTAATTAAGAAAACAAAACTGTCTGAGTTTTCGAAATAGAGCGAGAGACATATTGACAGAGAGTTTTAACTAAAATAATAAAATGTACAAATCAACAAAATCGAGTAAAACTATAAGCTTTTGTTTGTTTTAAAAATACTGTGAGAGTAAGAAAAAATGTTTTCAGTTTTTTTTTTGAAATTGTGTGTGATATATTGAAATATTGAAAGAGAGATAGTGATATTTGAAAACTGAGAGATAGAGAGGTGTGTGTAGAGTTTTTAAATTTAAAAATATTTTGTTTTTCGTTATTGAGAAGAGTTATAAAACGTTATCAGGAGTTGAATTTGAATCTTTTGCTTGAAATCGATTTTTCGAAAAATATATTTTTTTTAAATAGCTGCAGTTAAAAATAGCATTTTTTTGGGGAAATTAAAGAAATTAAATAAAATAAGGAAGCTGAAAGGCTTATTATTAAATCATGAAGTAAAAATATAAACTAATTACAAGAACAACTAAACAAAAAATAATAATAAGTAATTAATAAATTTCTCAATGATGATAGCGGTAATGGACCAATATTATTCGATCCAATCCAAATATTAGTATGGATCAATATTTGGGAGGAGGCTAATGCCCGGGAAATGTCGCTAATTAATTATTTTGGAAGAACGGTGGTCTATAGCCCGCCGAAGACCACAACTTATCTAAGTTTTTGGCAACTAAAAGTTCTACAATAAATGTTCGTTTCCACGACAGAGGGGTTTACGATCCAAAACTACCCGAGTCCAAGGTCTGTCGCCTCAGCCCATTGTGTAAAAACAATAGGGCTGCTACAAAAACAACAATAAATGTTCTACAAATTCTAAAAAATAATGTTCACCGTTTAATGTTTAAAGGCCTTCATGAATAAAATGCAGGAAAATCTTTCAGATTTAATCCCGCATGGATCCTTAAGGAAAGATTGCAAAGAAAAAAATGTTATTGATAGTACTGGTTAATACATATCCGTTGACATTACATGGCAATTCTTTGACAATTGGGATAATTTATCCAAAATAACTCTTATTCTGGTCTAAATTAAAATCTGGAAATATTGGCTTGAATTATACCACCTAATATTTCCTTCAGTGAAGCATTACTGTTACTGGAGATGGATGGCCTACAAAGTTTGCAGCCAGGATACCGACTGTATTTGAACGGAGACCAACGAATCTTCTCCGCAATATAATTAAAGGAAGGTGAGAGCTACAAAGGAAGACGAGAGCAAGAAAAATTGATCACTGCAAAAACTCCTTCGGAAAAATAAACAAGACAAGTTCATTCCAAAAACCGCTCACAACAACTGACATAAGGAGAAAATACTCCTTAACAAAAAACAAATAATTATTGTACTACGAGTGAAGTAGGTATGGCAGCCTTGACAATCTCCTCCTTCTGAACTACACCCAACGACCATCACGAAATATTATTTTCCAAATTCAAACCTGGAGACAGCCCTAATGACTGTAAATAGAGCTAATAGAGCTGGAAAAATGAAGCCAGCAATCTCTACTCAACTAGAACCTTCGACGGTGACCTTTGGATGAAAAGAGATCCGTTGTATCATCGACCAGTACAAAGGAAGGAAAGTGCGTGACCAATACACAAACTCCTTTGAAACCAGTAAGGAAAGTAGTAAAGTCGGACGTGGCCGACTATATGATACCGTTCACCACTTTGGATATATTCAACAGATGAATCCTAACAGGCGTTGCATTTTTAAAGGGCCAGCAAAATGAAATTCGATCCATAAACATGTCATTCTGCAACCTATACTAATTTTTTCATTTGGTCATATATAGAAGCTATATCTAAATCTGAACCGATTTCAACGATTTCAGGAAATTTAACACACATCATTCTAGACCTAATACATTACGCTGTACCAAAGTTCGTGCAAAACCGAAAGTTATTAAGGGACTTTGGTACACCATTTACCTTAAATTGGACGAAAATATATATAGGAGCTATATCTAAATCTGAACCGAATTTCACGAAACTTAAAACACATCATTCTAGACCTAATTCATTACGCTGTGACAAATTTCGTGCAAATTGAATGATATATAGGGATTTTGGTACACCATTTACATAAAATCGGACGAAACTATATACGGGAGCTATATCTAAACCTGAACCGATTTTCATGAAACTCAGCACAAATCATTCTACACTTAATTGAATACGATATGCTAAATTTCGTGCAAATCAAAAGATATATAGGGACTTTGGCGGACCATTTACATTAAATCGGACGAAACTATATATGGGAGCTATATCTAAACCTGAACCGATTTTCATGAAACTCAGCACACATCATTCTAGGCCTAATTCATAACGCTGTACCAAATTTCGTACAAATCGAAAGATATATAGGGACTTTGGTGCACTATTTACAAAAAATCGGACGAAACTACATATGGGAGCTATATCTAAACCTGAACCGATTTTCATGAAACTCAGCACACATCATTCTAGGCCTAATTAATTACGCTGTGCCAAATATAGTGCAAATCGAATGATATATAGGGACTATGGTACACCATTTACGTAAAATCGGACGAAACAATATATGGGAGCTATATCTAAATCTGAACCGATTTTTCCCAATTCCAATAGGGTTCGTCCTTGGGCCAAATAAGTAACCTATGTCGAATTTCATCCAAATCGGATCATAAATGCGACCTGTACTTTGTTCACAAAAATACATGGACGGACGGACATGCGTAAATCGACTCAGAAAGTGATTCTATGGAACCATGTGTCTATCTCGTTTCCTTTTGCCTGTTACAAACATATGCACAAAGACATAATACCCTGTATCACAGTGTGGTGAAGGGTATAAAAACAAGACAAGTTCTAACCAAAACCCTGACACAAAGCGAAGCTTTATTCGGAATACATTTACTTTTGTGGGAACTGGAGACAGGAATCTGTACTAAACCAGAACCTTTAAGGCGCCTATGGATAAAAGAACATTCGTGGTGACTTCAACACGTGCAAAAGGCGACCTAGGCACAAACTTCATCCGAACCACTACTAATAATCCACCAAATGAAAAATGGAGGCTGGGATCTGTACTCAATCAGAACTTTAGAGGGTGATCCATAGATTTAAAGAGATCTGTAGTACAAAGGAAGGCAATTGACATGAAAAGGTGACCACTGCACAAGCTTCTTCGGAAAAAGAAGACAAGTTATTTGGACTACAAAAACCTGACATAAAGCAAAACTAGGTTCGAAATACATCTACTTTTGAGGGAACTGGAGCTAGGGATACGAAACCAGAACCTTCTAGCCGCCTCTGTATGAAAAGACATTCGTGGTGACTTCAACTATTAATAATCCACCAACTGATCGTTCCACTGTGAAACCGAAAGAACCAGGATTATGGCCTTAGCAGATTCCATCGTCTCCAAAAGTCTGATATGAAATAAATTATTCACTTTTGTGGAAATCTGGCAAGCTTCAACGGAATTGTCTAGTTGAGCCAACACATTTTGAAACAAAAACTTAGTCCACTAAAAATATCGGATCTATTGAAAATTTAAAACGATTTTAAAAACGACATGCTACCCTCGGGACCCATTTGCTTATATTTTATTTATTCTCAAGGAGGAGTTATGCTGCTTACTATCTTCATGAGAGACTATATATTATGAAAATTTGGGAATATGTAAACGTGAAATTCTTAGAATAGCTAAAGGGATTGTGGCCATCAAAGAATGGGACAGCAGTTTCGAATTAGAATGCTTACTCGAAGTTTACGGTATTTAAAGAACTGAATTGGCGATGTATTGGACTTAAATGCGAATTAATTTAGCTTTCTATCTATATTAATTCAAAAGTTATTTTGATTACGGCCACGATTTCTCATCCACTAACAATAAGAAATTTAAAATTGCAAGCAGTTCTTGGGCTGATTCAGCTCCTCCTCAAAGTTGATCTGCTTTTACGTTTCGTACACAGCTGTGTATATTTATTATGTGAGGGCTACTATACTATATTGCCTGTGATAATCTGACATTTCCATTGAAAACTTTGAGATTTTTTCTTCCTCATCTTGAAAATTCATTTGCATCTGCATCACATTGAGAAACTTCTTTTCATTACAAATAACTAAAAAAAAATATTTACAAAAGTATAAACAGATGATTAATAATATTCTAAATTATTTCTGAAATTTAAATTAATAAAAATTGATAAATTCATGATGACAAGAGAGAGATTACAAAATTCAAAACTAAAAAAATGAACAGAATAAAATAAGGAAAACTAAAGGGTAGATTTTCTTTTGTAGAAATTTGATAGATAGACTGAGTTATAGAGTTTTGTCGAGAGTGACAGATAAGAGATAGATCGAGACGGATAGAGAGAGAGAGACAGAGAGAAAGGGGACGAAACTAGTCGCTAGAATAAGAACTAATTAGTACATACCATCTTCACCACTTGAGGCTTGTGCAACACCATCTTCACCCAAGGTACCCAATTCAGCGGCCTGGATAATAAGTGAGACGCGATAGAAATAATTTCTCCAGAAATTCTCTTCGGTGATGCTAAAATTATGGATAAATAATTTTTTATTAGGGTCAGTAAAAATAAGAGAAAAAATTCAGAAAACTTACATTTTGGGTACCAATTCAAAACGCATTGTTTCCAGGTTCTTATCTTCTTCCATAATGGCCTGGGCTGTAGGATAGGCGGTATCATAGTTGAATTCAAAATCAATACCAGCCGGTGGTGCACGTACAAAGTTACGTCTATCCTGGGATAGACCCATAATTTCTTCTTTAATTTTTGCCTCATTGGTTAGGCCAACCCAGGGGGCAACAGCTGGACCATTACCGCCAGCCTGGCCTTTAATAAAGGCTTCTTGTTCTTTGTTAAATGATTCCATAATGGGCTTTACAGGCGAAGATGGAGAAGAAGAAGAATAAAAGGTTTTATTAGTAAGGTAGGTAAGGGTGGGGTGTTGTGAAAATTTTGGAAAATACTTACATTCTTCTTGACAGTTTCTTTTAGCTTTGAACCAGCCTCAGTGAAAGCCGATGATAAAAATGAACCAAAATGTTTGGCCTGTTGGGTCACCTTTGTGGTAACTGTTCGATTTTTGAAAAGAAATAGAATTTGTTTTGAAAATAGACAAATTGATATTGGATTAATAAGTTCCAAAACAGGGAAGGTGGTAATGATATCTGGGTATAGGGTTAGTTTTGAAATAACTACTTAAACTAAATAATGAGGTTCAAATTCGAGAATGTTTTGACAACGAAATGCGGGATTGAACGCATTCAAATTGAAATTTTGGTTCTACTTGGTTGAAAGGTTGAACTGATCTGATTTTTATTGGGCTTTGTTTTTTTTTTTTTGTATAGGTGGTTGGGCGGGGAAAGAGAAAAAGTGTGATATATAGGGGGTGAAGACTTTGAAGTCAGGGTAATAGGTAAAAAATAGAGACGTTTTCGTCTTTGTTTTTTTCTGCCCGACTTCAAAGCCTTTTCAGTATAAAAGTAGGTGCTACCTTTTTATTGTCTACTAATGGAAATTTTTGGTTCAAAAAAAGGTTGTTTGGCGGAGGGTACAAAAATTTTATATTTTTTTTATGAAATATGCTATGAGTGCTAATAGAAAAAGAGATATATACTATATATAAAGAGAAAGAGAGTAAAGTTCTAAGAGTTATGGGGAACTTTGTTTGGTATTTTTTTTCTGTTAGTAAGTAACCTGTCACTTTTTTGTCATTTAAGAAAAATTTTTCTTTTTTTACATTTAATTTCTCGATTAAAACCTTTCATTCTTTTTTTTTTAATAAAATAAAATTTTGTTGTTAGTATTTTTTTTATAAAAAAAATGTTACCAATTTTTGTTTGATTTTGGAATTGTGACACGTACTTTTCACTTCTTCGGCCTTACCCTGTCCAATCTGACCATCTTCGCCCAGTTGAGCCTCATCACCGGATGCTGCTAATGAATCAGCTCCCTCTGTGGCACTGTAAGACAGACAGAGAGAGTGAGAGAGAGATAGAGACAAGGAAGAGAAAAATAAAAATAGTTATATTAGTACAAATTGTTGTTGTTATTTAGGGGTAATACATAATTATTTTAGATTATAAGCAAAATAATTAAATACGAATAAAAAAATATTCAAACATTTTACACATTCATTACACAAAAGAACATCATGCAAGAACAAAAGCAAGATTTTTTAAGAATAAAAAATTGAATTTTTTTTATTAAAAATATTCAATAAAACATGCAAACGTATTTTGAAATATCAAGAAAAAAATCTATACAAATATATACTCCGGTTTTTTTTAGTAGAAATATAAAAATCTCTTCATGAAAAAAAAATAAATATTTAATAGGAGAGGTATCCCAACAATATTTTCTTTGCCAGAAAATCCTGTTGAAGCCTTGAAAATCCAAGTTTAAATTGTTTTCGATTTTCACATTCGTTTATTTAGCATAATTAGATTCCTCATATTCTATATTTTCTCTAAAATAAATCTCGCACCCCAAAAACTCACATTACGCTTAAGAATGTATTTTATTTAAACATGTCTCATAGAATTCACCCATAAAACTTTATTCGAGATCATAAAGTGGAATTATAATTTTTATAACATTAAATAAAAACGTGACATGGAATGGTGGCTGGGATGGTTGGCTGGCTGGTCGGTTGCTTATTTGTTGTAATTTTATTTAACGACATTTGAATCCTTGAAAATCCATGGACCCAAAAACAATGCTCAGCATAAAGTAGCCAGCCAATAACCACATGGCGACAAAAACAAATATAAAATGGACAATGGAACGTTGTTGTTGTTTGATAATAATGATGGTTATGATGCGAGACTATTATGAGCGGATAGGGTGGAAGGGGGTGTCTCTGTTTTGGAAGAAAATCATATTTTATGCGTAATGAAAATTTTATCTAATGACAGGGTTTTATTAAACGACAGCAAGTGAGTATTTTCTTCGGAGGACGCAGTAGTGAAATATAGAGGGGTAGCAGTTTTGTAATGCCTGCCAGTAGTAAAGTCGTATACATTTAAATGTGTAGCATTAATAGAGGTGTACAAAATATCAGATAAGCCATAAAATTTTTATAATTTTTCCTCCTACTATATATCATAAAGTTGATCTGAATGAATGATGCGATTAAGGTTATTGTTTCATAAATATGTCAATTTTGTAATAAGGGGAATTAAAAGAGGAATATTGATGAAAATAAGTCCAGATTTTTAGAATTCTGCAAATTAATGGTTGTTGTGTTGGCAAATTTAAACGAAGAAATCAATAGCATTTCTTCAATAATAATAAAAGAGTAAAGTGAATGACTTAACGATTCATTACCCCCCAAACGAAATGGCTGAAGGTAGGTTTATGGAAATTCCTACTAGAACTGACGAAAAGTGGTAAAAAGTATCAAATATGGTAACATTTGTTTTTGGTGAACCGGTGGGGCTACAACTCTTAAATTTGGAATGAGGATCATCGATGGAGTTTAGGATAGGTGTACTAAAGCGTATTTTTTTTGGAAATTCGAACTATAAGTATCCGAAAAGAACTAAAAACTCATGTAACTACATTTGTAAGCCACAGTGCCCAATATGCCTTATGAGCCGCTTAACCAACGGCGAAACGCGTCGCATAATGGGGGAAATGTAGTAGCTTTCTGGCTTTCCTTTTCGTTGCAAATTCGATCATGTAGATCATCTTGAATCAGAAATAAATTAAAATGTACTAAATTTGGTAGAATTTTGGAGCATGTGTACGAATTTTGGAGTATGTGTATGTATAGAGCTTAAAATTTGAAATTTGGAATGCGAATCAAGGTTGAGAAGTAGGTGGTTGGAAGTGTATACTCATGTATTGGAAAGGTCCTATGTTTGGTACAATCCTAACATATGAAATTAACATTACCGTCGTAGTTTAGGATTTACTTATACGAAAAGTATTAAATCGTACTAATATTGGTACCATTTGGATTTGGATGAACCGATAAATTTGGAAATAAGATTACTGTTGGATTGTAGGATTGCGGTATGAATGTAATTTTAGAAATTCATACCTATGGGTACTAGATATGGTACAGTTTGAATTTTGGTTGAACCGATAGAGCTGGAATCCTGAAATTTGGAGTATGGATCACTGTTTCGGTGTTGGAAGTTTTGGAAATGTGTACTAATGTATTCAAAATGGTACTAAATTTTGTACAATTTGAATTTTGGGTGAACCAATAGAGGTGGAATCTTGAAATTTGGAGTTGGGATCATTGTATGCAGTTTTGAAAATCGTACTAAATGGCACCAAATTTGAATTTGAGTGAACCAAATCCTGGAATTTGGAATTAAAATTACCGTTGTACAAAGTGTACTATTGGGGTATGTAGGGAGATTCGGCAGATACTACAAGACCTAAGAAAGATAATAAAAAATCAGTATAGAGCTAGATTTCTGTTGCGGTTAGAATTCGTGGCTAGTGTTGAGATATGGAGATAGAGAAATACGTACCATGCGCCATAAACGTTTTTGTATCAAAGATATTCTGAAAGCATGATTGGGAGTTGCCTTAATCGGAATGGAAAAAAATTCTTGGCAGTTGACGTTAAAGCACATTTATAAGTGTATAAATCATTTGAAAAATAAGTCCCATATATGTCTTCCATTTTGGTCCATGTTTTTCCATAATTCTCGTTTAAGGGCACCAACCGATTTTAGTTATTTTGAAGGTTGTTAATGTGGCATTTCTTCGTTTCCTGTAGACTAAAATACTTTCTACTGCCTATAAGTAGTGTCAACACTAATATGCACAGTTATCCCATCAACAATTATTTTTTTTTATTTCAAACGACTATATTTTTGGTACCAAATAGACGTATTGAAGTGAAATTAAAATTGTAGTGATGGTAAATGTTTCAGATCCATCCAAACCCTACTTTTTGGTGCAGTACAGGGGTTTCTTAAGGGGACCCCCCCCCCCACTCTCGGGGTCAAAAAATTTCAAACGACTATATTTTTGGTACCAAATAGACGTATTGAAGTGAAATTGATGGTGATGGTAAATGTTTCAGATCCATTCAAACCCTACTTGTTGGTGCAGTACAGGGGTTTCTTAAGGGGACCCCCCTATTCTCGGGGTCAAAATTTTTTTTGATTTAATTCGAATCTACACTAATTCAAGAATGTCCCTACAAAATTTCTAGTGAAAATCTCAAGAACTCTTGAAGATATAGCCGATTTATTGGGTCAGCATCAAGTGACGGCTAAAGGGCTTCTCAAACTTTAAACGCGTTTTTCTCTTTTGCGAATGGCGGGTACAATAACTCAAAAACTAATAACCCAATCGATTCCAAATTCTTACACCTTTCTCTGTGAGTGTATAGCTATTGTATGAACTAGGATAAAGCCAATCGGTGAAGATCTTCCTTATTTTAACTTGAACTTGAAAAATAGGCGATTTTCCAAAAATATTTTTTCAAAGGTCCGCCATTTTGTTAATTTTAGATCGAAGTCAATAATCCTAGTTCATACGAGAGCCAGACATGTACTCTTTCTAACACCGTTGAAATTTTCGAATTCCGATGTTCCAGTGAGGAGTTATCATTCCCGCCATCAAAAATAAGGACTTTTCTTTAATTACAAAAAACAACAACAAAACAATAACAAAAATTTTTTGTAAATTATTGTTCTTCTCTTTTAAATCTTCAATTATATATGTGCAAAGTTAGAAACCTTAACAAGCATTTGTATTCATTTACCAGCCCATTGAAAATCTTGAAAAATTGAAATCGATCGACATTTATTTTTAAATTCATTCATGGCTATGATAGAACCTTTGACAGAAGACTTTTAATAATCGTGGAAGGTGTTTTTTTGGTTCAGGAAGTACGTTTGACAAAATAAGTTCCCTTAAAAAATATATATTTTTTAAGGTCCTTTGAAGAAATATATATCTGGAAGATGGAAAAATATTATCTTGGAAGGTCCTTTGAAAATTATAATATTTTTAAGTAGTTTAAGACCTTTTAAAAAATATTTTTTAAATGGTCAAAGGGTCTTTAAAAAAATATGTTGTAATAATTGTTGTTTTTCAATTGAAAATTGGGGCTCTGAAAGATAATTAAAAATTCTGCTCCTTCTGTTCCATTGACAAGAACTTTTAGAAATACCGAAATGTCCTTAAAAAAATATTTTTTTAGTTCTCATTTAATGCCTTTGAAAATAATATATTTGTTAGGACTCCGAAAGGTACTTGGAAAAAAAATGCATGTATTAAAATATTTACATAAGTCTGGAAGGTCCTGGAAAATTTATATTTCTGATTACATTCTTTATAGATCCTGCAATATTTAACCACAACTTTCATTGTCTTCGTTTCATTTACCATGTCTACACTTAGTATAACACTCGTTGATGGTTGATTTTCGTGGAGTCTTATTGGAAATCTAAAAAAACATTCCCAAATTAAAAAAAATAGTTATTTGATGATCTTTTTTTAAATCATAAGTTTTTCTATATGAATCAAGTATTGCGAGCGTATTGTCAATATTCAAACACATACATATACAGACACAATGTACATACGTACTATATATATGTATAAAATACATACATATATACATCAAATAATATCCTTTTGATTTGATAAATAGAAGAAGATTTCATGTTATTTACAATGAAATTTAATGAGAAGAATGCTTGTAAGAAGAATATGATGACGAAGGAAAATAATAAAAAAAAAAATAAGAAAATGGAGAATCGATGACACCATCAAGACAAAATATAAAGAAAGTTGAGTCAATGTTTTTTTCTTCTTCTTTGAAATGTTAATAAAGGAAAATGAAGAGGAAATTTCACACTTCACATGACGTAAAGAAATAAGTTTTAACCTTTGGCTAACAAAAAAAGGTCAAATGACGAAGATGATGCAAGTGAGACAAAAAATGAGGGATAAGAAGGGAATTTGGAATCCACAAATAATATTTGTGCAAGGCACTATACAACAGTCATTCCGAGAAATGCATGGTCTCAGATGTTCAGTTTTTTGTTTTGTTTTCTTCAGAGGGAGGATAACTTTTATTTTCTATGAAATTCTCAGAGAAATGATTTTAAAATTATCAAAACGGTACACCAAAGAAAAGAAGAGGGAGAGCGGGCAGGCTACAACAATATGATATTCTACAACAAAATAGAAAACAAACAAGTAATAATAAACTAAATAAACCAAAGAAAGAATTAAAGAAGAAAACAATAGAAAAATAGTACAACAACAGAAAAACAACTCTACAACTTAAGTCTTATTAAGATGGAAAATCTATTGAAACAAAAATGGGAAAAAATGAAAAACTACTACTAAATACAACAATTATATGAGGGGAATTAATGGTCCCGTCGTTTACGATGCTCTACAATCCTGTTTTTATTGTTATGGTTGGAAGAGAAAGAAAACTGCAAAGCTTTCATTATCCTTCAACCAAAAAACAGAAAGCCAATGATTTGGGATTCGATGGCTTCTATTATGGTATGGTATAAGTAGTTGTTGTTGTTGTTTTGATGATGGGCCGCAACTATTTAATGATGGAATTTGATATTTTTTTTTGATTGTTTTGGTTCTGCTCTAATGGAAATACAAAAGAGGTAAAATATGTTGTGATGTTTGGAAGTGGGGAGCAAAAAAAAAAATAATAGAAAAAAATATAAACAAAAAATGATTAAAAAAAATGAAATTAAAAAGAAAATTATGAAAAATGTATATAAACTAAAAAAAATGTTTTTAAGAAAATGATTACAGAAAATGAAAAATCTCTTACAGACTCATTGTCCTCATGTCCTTTGTGACAGGATTTTATGAATTATTTTCTTTGCTTGATTTGCTTGGGAACTTACCTTAATATACAAGAAAGCGGTAATGAAAATATTTCATAAAATCCGAACTGTATAAACTATATTAGTTACTTTTTTACAGAATATTATTTGTATAATATAAATATTGAATTAAAATAAATATTATTTTTGGTATTAGTTTTACTGTAATATAAATTGTAATAAATATGTAAATAAAAGGGATTAAGACTTGAATAGTATTGAAAAATTGAATATAATAAAGCTTTATAGATATAAGAAAAAAAAACTTTAAATTTGCTCAAAAATTTACAGTGAAGGCAAGTAATGAAAGATTTGAAATAAACTAATTTGAAATTTTGAAATGTAAAAATATATCATAGAAATATATATGACTGCAGATCACACTAAGGTATGTATTTACTTAAAATCAATATTTTGTTGTCTACAAAAAACCCAATCTGATGTAAAATATACTGCACAGTCACGTATAGAGATATAGAATTAATAAAAAAGCAGATATGTGGCGTATGAGTTGTGTCGTTACTCATACGTCACGGAGTACTACTTTTCGGTAGTTCATTATTAACTGGCTTGAATAGTTAAATAGTACGCTAATAAAATCTAAACAAACCATTGTAAAATAATGATTATTTATTATTATTGTTCTTTGTAAAGAATTAAAAACAAACTAAAAGGAAAAACAGGGCAATCTTTTGAAAGAATATTTTAAGTGCCTTGGGTTTTGGAAGGTACTTTGTATAAAAAAACATCATATCTTTTCAGTGCCTGCTATTATATCTATGGTTTTGAAAAGTACTTTGACGAACTATTTGGAAAATACATTAACAAAATATATTTAAAAAAACCATGTCTTAAAGTCATTCATAATCATTTAGTGAATATAATAAATCTTCTTGAAAACATGAGACCTCTGGAAGAAGATCCATCAATATTATGCCTTATTGAAGCTATCTAGCCATAGAAACACAAATCACAAAGAAGGAATTTTATCAATTGAAGGCTTCATAAAGTTTTCACACCGTGCTTACCATGTATAGAACAGAGTTATCAAAGAAATAAAAATCGAATACGTGGCGTATGAGTTGTGTCGTTACTAATACGTCACGGATTACTACTATGATTTCTTTTCGGTACCTTCTAGTTATTAATGCAATATTTCTCTAATATAACCTAAAAAAATTATTGCAAATTGTTGTTCTTTGTAAAAAATAAAAAAACTAACAGGAAAGACAATGTTATGGCCAGGAAAGTCCTTTGAAAGAATTTCTTAAGGCCCTGTAATGTATTTTGGAAGGTATTTTGTCGAAATATTTGGAAGATTCTTTACAAAATATATTTAGAAAAAATGCTTTATAGCGACTCCTATTTTATTTAATTCACGGCCATTCAAAATCATTTTCTGAATATAATCAATAGATGATTTCAAGAAGGCCCTAAAAGTCTTCTTGAAAACATAAGACCTCTAGAAGGAGTTCCATAAATAGTACACCTCATTGAAGCTATCTAATCATAGAAACACAAATCGCAAAGTAGACATTTTTGAAGTTTTCACTTACAGGCTTTCCATATATTGAACCTCTTCTGGTAACCTCATTCGAATATAATATTTTCTCTTAGCTTTCTGTAAGTGGCCAATTTTTCGTCAGGCCTTATTTCGAACGAATAACCTACCTCAGATCAAGATAAACGAGATCACACTAATGAAAGTGCATACTATCTTTAAATCAATATTTTGTTTTTCACGAACAGAGATATCAAAGAAATAAAAATCGTGAGTTTTGTTGTTACTCATACGTTACGGAGTACTGCTTTCATTTATTCCTCCTTTGTTCTCTTTCACATTGGCTTTAGAGATAAAATCTCTTCGTTAGGATTTAGGACATCCTGAGCAATGCCACTTAACCAGAAGGTCCCAAAAAGCCTAAACAAAATATCTCTAAAAGAAGTTTCATCAATTGAAGATATCATTGAAGACACCTAGCCATAGAAACACAAATCACTCTACAGAAATTTTATCAATAGAAGACTTTTCTACAGGTTAAGGTGCTCACTCCCAGGCTTTCCGTGGAGAGAACCCCTATTAGTCTGATTCGAATAGAATGTTTCCTTCTAGCTTTACATAGGTAGGTCTTCTATTTAAATAATTCATCTGCCTTTGAAGAAAATGATTTATTTATACTGTCGTATAAAACTTATTTCTATTTCTTCTTAAGCTCTTTTAAAAAATTATTGGGACTTAAATTCCTGTAATAACTCTTCTCCAGATTAACAATACAACTGGCTTGGCCCTTCAGTTCGTACATAAAGATTCTCGGAACCTTCAGCTTGCTTCTTATTGACACATGGCCTTCAGCTAAATAATAATCTTTTCTTGAGATTCCGATAAACCTGACAGGTTGCTTCCAACTTTTCGATCAGTTTCAGCAAGCTTGTGATGTCCGTTTTCTATGAAGGTTAAATGATATTAAAAAAGCACTGCGTGCTTCTATTAAGTTTTCCTACTTCAGTCCGTCTAGACAAACTCCCTGACCCTTTAGCTTGTCTATAAAGAAGGCATCCGCCGAATCCATCAGCCCAATGCGCCCTTCTAAAAAACATAACTTCTATCTGTCTATGAAATATCTCTTTAAATCAATTTTATAGACTAGCTGCTTCAGCTCGAAAAACTGTCGTTTGTTCGACTAAAAATACCCTTTTCTGTTCGCCTATAAAGATGCTAAGCTCGTCTATAAAAGACTATCATCAGGTCGATTATAAAACAGCCATCAGATATTATAAAATGACTCCTTTCGCATATATTTACTGTCGCTCTTTCAACTCGTTTAAGAGCTATTTTCTGGACTATATTTCCTAATTTTTAAGAGAAAGTCAGGGTTCGTTTATTAATGTCTTCTTTCGTCCATCATTTCATCAAGAAATGTCCTAACCTTTCTTCTGTCCTAAAAATAATCCCTTGACATTTTGAGGACTTCAATAGTATATAAAATATGCTAGCATTAGTATTAAAACTGACCTGAATCTATTTTGCAGAGATTTTCGTCTATTAAAATAGTGTGATCTGTTTCAAGTTTTTTTTTTCATATAATATAGTTTTCAAATATATTAATAGTATACGAAAATTAATAATAAAATATATATATAAAGTGTTGAAGCTTTGAAGCAAATATTGAAAGGAATAAATATAAAGAAAATGGAAAGTTGAAATATAAAAAATAATTAAAAGTAACGCACTCTAACTACACCTGAATATAACGCTGGTAAATTTTAGATTATAAGGAACATTTTAAAAAAGGGAATTATTGATTATACAGCCGCAATTTCATAATAAATTAATTTTATTAAAAAAAACTTGAAGAAAATGCCTTGGAAATTGACGAAAAAATGAAATAAATTAAAACCGCCCGTGTGGCGTATAAGTAGTGTCGTTACTCATACGCATAGGACAACTGATTTGACTATTTTTTTTGTATTTCCTCGATTTGGATTGACTTTTATAATTAATAATTCCCTTATAAAATTGCAAAATAAATATTATTATAAAAACAAATTAAGAACTAATAAAAAACTCTTGTAACTAAATATTATTTAACTGGAATTTAAATATTTTTAATGATAAAAATTTGAACTTTGTAACTTCAGCATTTCATGTTTTTTGTTGCTTTTGTTATTTGCTATTTGCTTTGGAAATATAAATATTTGTGGCTTTAGAAAAAAAACAGAATATTTATGTAAACAAATAAAGAGCTTTGTTAACAAACGGTTTCGAACAAAATCACAAACTCATTACAAACTCCTTTGGGGTGATTAATTTGTTTTTTTTTCTTTTGTTGTTTTTTTCTTTTTAGTTGTAACTTTCCGTTAAAAAATATCAAAATTTCCTTTCATCATTAAGAAAGTTGTGGGGCCCATACCTAAGATACCTCGATTTGTCGTCATCCTCACCACCGGTGGCAGCTGCTGCATTTTCTGCGCCAGCGGCAGCGGCACCTTCGGCGCCCTCCTCGCCGCCCTTGCGCAGACCAGGTATGGATGGTATAGAAGGCATAGCTGGCATGGATGGCATAGCCATTGTGGGCATTGAAGGCATGGCCGGCATAGATGGTATTGATGCACTGCCTAACCAACCCTTGGCACTGCCTAACCAACCGCTGTAAAATTGAAAAAAGAGAAAATTGTTAATTAGTAAGGGTAAATAGGAAAAAAATATAATGAGTATTGAATATGAGCTAGTAATTATGTTTATTAAAATAACTAATGATGATGTTAGATGTTATTAGAGCGTATAAGTAATGACGTTACTCATACGTTACTCAAAAAATATAAAATCTCAAATAAGATTTAGTAATTAAAACGACCATACATGAAATTGTGACCCCTATGCGTATGATTAACGCCACTACGTATACGTACATATGAAACGGTGGCACCCTATGCGTATGATTGACGTCGCTACTTATACGCATCGGGGATTACAAATGCATATAAAAAGCCACGCAGGCATTCATTATTATAATTTAATATTGAATGGACAATAAGACAGCGACCTTCCTGATGTTTCCAATATATAGATAATTGGTATTCGACATTTAAGTGAACCACAAATGGTGTTGGAAATAAAAAATAACACAGTAAAAGAAAAATTGAAATGTCAGCTGCAATTTAATCCCAACCTTTCCGATCCAAAAACAAAAATAAATAAATAAACACCACACCCTTTCACCTTCATCACTTTTAAGCCATATCCATCCAGTCATTTGACATTTAATCATTGTAACCTAATTCATCTACCCTCATTTCCTGTCATTTACTAATTATTCAAGTGGCTGGATTTAATGAAATATGGTGTGTGTGTGTGCATTTGGCTGAATAATTAAAGATTTACATGCGAAAATATAATTTGTGGTGGGAGATTTGAAATGGTGGGAAGTAAACATACTTATTTTAGATTCGTTGTCTTGGAAGGAGGTAATCTGATGAAAGTAATATGAATGCTAAAAAGGACAGAACAGTGGGCATATTCAATTTCGTCTATGAAAGTATATCTGAGCTTCAGCTCGGCTCCATTACCCTTCAGTTCCCATTAGAAAGATTTCCTGAACCTCAACTCATTTATGAATTACTCATTAGCCTTTATGAACGACTTTCTGAGTTTCAGCACACATATAATAAGGTACCTGGTCCTTCATATACTCCACGAAAGATTTTCAGTTTCAATAAATATTTCAAAGACAACTTGGACCTTCAGGTCGACTAAAAGCTTTAGTGTGGCTACGATAACTACTTGAGCTTCAGATACTCTATCAGAAATTTCCTTGCCCTTCAGCCTTCCTAAAAAGTCGTTGAGGCTCTATTTCTCTTCAACTCTTTTGTGAACGACTCCGTGAGCTTAAATTAGTCTGCGTAAGGATATCCAGCCCTTCTGCGCATCTATTAAGTAGAGATATGAAGGAAATAAAGATCGTTCATGTGGCGTATGAGTTGTGTAGTTAATCATACGCATCGAAGAACGTATTTTTGCTCATTTTCGGATATTTCTTGCTTTTGATTGGCTTGCATTATTAATAAGTTCATAATAAAATCTGTGAACGACTCCGTGAGCTTAAATTAGTCTACCGAAGGATATCCAGCCCTTCTGCGCATCTATTAAGTAGAGATTTGAAGGAAATAACGACCGTTCTTGTGGCGCACGAGTTGTGTCGTTAGTCATACGCATCGAAGAACGTATTTGACTAATTTTCGGATAATTCTTGCTTTTGATTGGCTTGCATTATTAATAATTTCCTAATAAAATCGAAAATATATTATTCCAAAATAAATATTGTTCAAAAAATAAAAGCTACAAAATAGCTTCAGATAATCTATCAAAATTTTCCTGGCCCTACAGGCCTCCTAAAAAGATTGTGAGTCTCTATTTATCTTCAACTCTTCTGTGAACGACTCCGTGAGCTATATTTAGTCTGTAGAGGTATATTCGGCCCTTCAGCACATCTATTAAGTAGAGATTTGAAGGAAATAAAGACCGTTCATGTAGCGCATGAGTTGTGTCGTTAGTCATACGCATCGAAGAACGTATTTGACTCATTTTCGGATATTCCTTGCTTTTGATTGGCTTGCATTATTAAAAATTAAAAAAAAAAAAAATACCTGACCCTTCAGCCCTCCTAAAAAGTCCTTGAGTCTCCATTTCACTTCAACTATTCTGTGAACGACTCCGTAAGCTATAGCTAGTCTGATGCTCTGCCCTTCTGCACATCTCTAAAGGACTGTCTGAGCGTCAGGACATCTAGGAATGACTCCATGAACTTCATTACATTTACGAAAGTCTCTGTACTCCTTCAGCTCGTTTGTAAGGCTCCCTGACGCTTCAGCTCCTGTACGAAAGTTTTGCTGAGCTTATGTTTGGGTATGGAAGACTCTTTAGAACTTCGACACGTCTATCAAAGATTCCCTGAGCTTCATCACATATATGAATGGCTTCCCACCCTCCTAAAAAAATCATTTAGTCTCTATTTCTCTTCAACTTTTCTGTGAACGACTCCGTGAGCTTAAGTTAGTCTGTGGAAGGATATTCGGCTCATCAGCACGTCTGTTAAGGACTGTCTAAGTGTCAGGTCATCTAGGAAAGACTCCATGAGCTTCATTACATTTAAGAAAGTCTCTGTACTCCTTCAGCTCGTTTGTAAGGCTCCCTGACGCTTCAGCTTCTCTACTAAAGTCTTCCTGAGCTTATGTTTCGGTATGGAAGACTCTTTAGAACTTCGACACGTCTATCAAAGATTCCCTGAGCTTCATTGTGTATATGAATGACTCCATATCTCCTTAGATCTCTATGAAAGACTCTCCGGAGCTACAGAACGTCTATTAAAGACTGCCTGAGCATCAGCTTGTCTAAAAGAAGATCTCTTTTTTTGGACAAGCTCTTCTTCACCTCTATAAAAGGTTATATGTCACTTCAGCTCGCCCGTAAAAGGCTCCTAGCCTTTCAGCTCCTTTGATAAAGACTCCCTTGGTTAAAGGTCCTGTATGAGAGACTATACGGAACCACGTCTATAAAAGTTTCCCTGAGCTTGAACACGTCTATGAAGGGCTCTACGAACCTTCAGCACGTATATTAAAGTCAGCCTGAGCGTCAGCTCGCCAAAAAAAGATGCCTTATCTTCTGCACGCCTATGAAAGGATATATCCCTTCAACTAGTCTGTAAAAGGCTCCTTGCCCTTCAGCTCCTTGGAGAAAGTTCGTGTATGAAAGACTCTGTGGATCTCCAGCACGTCTTTCAAAGCCTGTTCGAGCATCGGCTTGCCTAAAAAAGATTCCAGAACTACAGAACGTTTATGAAAGCCTCCATGCCCCTTTCGCTCGTCCGTAAAATTCTCCTGGCTCTGCAGCTCCTTTGTGGAAGCCTTTCTTAACAAAATTTCGTGTAAGAAAGTCTCTACGGATCTATAACACATCTATCAAAGACTTCATAATCTCATCTGTAAAATCCTGCATGCTCAAAGAAACCCCTTCAACAGTTCAAAAGAGTATTCTCATGCTCGTATATGAAAAACTGCAAAAGCTTCAGTATACCTGTAAATGGTTCCATGCCCCTTCAAGTCTTCTGTAAAAGGCAATATAAGCTTCCGATGGCCTGGTAAATGCTCCCTGAACTGTAGTTCGTCTTTGAATGACTCTCTGGTTCTACCAGAGCTCACGTTTTGTTCAGCTGATCTTTAAAAAATTACCTGAAAGATTCTCTGAATTACCTGAGCTTCAGGTAGTCTTTAAAGGACAAGTTTTGTTCACCTGATATTTAAAAAATTACGATTGAGCTAACGAAGGGCTAACTAAGAAAGGCTCCCTGGATTTCAGTGGATCAGTTGATGATTTCAGAAAGGCTCCCAGACCCCTCGCCTTGTATATGAAAGACTCCATGAGTTTTAGAACATATATAAGGTTTCATGACCCTTAAACTACTCTGTGAAAGGCTCTGGGACTCCACTCCCTTTAGCTCAACTATGGAGACTCCCTTCAGCTCGTTTATAGACTCCCTTCAGCTGGTCTAAAAATACTCTCTTCAGTTTGTCTATAGAGATTCAATTCTTCCTCTGAAGAACTCGCATAGTTTCCAGTCCTTCCCCTTCATTGCATTTTTTTGTTATTGTTTTTAAATTATCTCTATCTTATATTTTATTCTTCTTTTTCTTTATCCACGATTATAGTTCAATGAATGAATGAACAGAGGAACTAGAAAATGAATGGCAAACTGTCACATGACCATAAAATATAACAGTTCCTAATTCTATTCTTAACTCTTCTTCCCCTGAAGCAGTAATCATTTCCACTCGCGCACACATACATCCGCACACCCGCAAACCTTAACTCCGAATCACTTGTTATTTGAATTTCCTTTTCTTCCTTTTGCTTTCACTCTTGATTAGAAGAGGAAATGTTCAGACGTTCAAATCAAATGACATTTCTTTTATTAAAAGGGATTAGTTGCCGCTACACACAGAAATGCTCGCCCAGCTGGTCGTTGTGACAAGTCGTGTACACTTGCAACCGAAGCAACGGAAAATGAAGAACGAGGAATTTTGTTGTGACAAAAAGGATTATGGGATTTAGAGGATATTTTCTGAAGCCAATGATAAGGAGGAGAAGAAATAAAATTAAATCAAAATAAAGGAAAAGGGAGGATGTTATATTTTTTATTGTTAAGTTCAATGGATTCTATAGCAAGGAATTCGCCCTTTGGTCCTTTAGACTTTTAAAAAAGGACATGGGTTCGTTTGTCTTTTGAAAAAATGATTTTAAAATATCCACGATTTTGTTTGGCCTTTGACTTTTTTATATAAAAAATCCTCGTTTGTGGTTCTTTTTAAAAATACATTCTTTTTTGTTTATACTAAATCAATGCTTGAGATAGTCCTTTGAAAGAACTAGTTTTAAAAAATCCGGATGTGGTTTTGCTTTGAAAAAGTATTTATAGAAAATCCAAGCTCAAGGTAGTGCTTTGAAAAAATAATTTTATAATGCCTTGAATAGCCCTTCAAAACTTTTTTAAATAATGCTTGAAAAAAATTGTTTAAACCTATCGCCTTGAATAGTCCTTAAAATTAATCGTTAAAATATTCACGTCTGGTGTAAACCTTTGAAAAATATTCTTTATAACGACCGCACCTTGAAGGGTGATTAAAATAATATTTTTGATCAAATCAAAGTCTTAAATAGTCTTTTGGACAAATATTCTTTAAAACGAGTGAGCGGAGCAGTATAGTCGGACGGGGCCGACCATACGATACCCTACACAACTACCACGGAACTCGGCTGTTTATTCCGCTTCCCATCACGGTGGGTTGTGTTGTGATGTTCGCCTATATTCGAAGAATATCCAGCCCTTCTGCGCATCTTTTAAGTAGATATTTGAAGGAAATAACGACCGTTCTTGCGGCGCATGAGTTGTGTTGTTAGTCATTCGGATCGAAGAACGTATTTTTGCTCATTTTCGGGTATTTTTTTGCTTTTGATTGGTTTATAATAAAATCTGAAACATATTATTGCCAAATAAGTATTGTTAAAAAAAATCGAATAGCTTCAAATACTCTATCAAATATTTCCTGCCCCTTCCCGTCCTCCTAAAAAAAAAGTCCTTTAGTCAATATTTCTCTTCAACTCTTCTGTGAACGACTCCATGAGCTTAAGTTAGTCTGTGGAAGGATATTCGGCTCATCAGCACGTCTGTTAAGGACTGTCTAAGTGTCAGGTCATCTAGGAATGACTCCATGAACTTTAGCACATTTACGAAAGTCACTGAACTCCTTCAGCTCGTTTGTAAGGCTCCCTGACGCTTCAGATCCTCTACGAAAGTCTTCCTGAGCTTAAGTTTGGGTATGGAAGACTCGTTAGAACTTCGACACGTCTATCAAAGATTCCCTGAGCTTCATCACGTATATGAATAGCTTCATATCTCCTCAGTTCTCCATGAAAGACTCTCCGGAGCTACAGAACTAGAAAACACACAAACAAATTAAGTTTTCGGTCCACTTCATCCGAAAATTTTAATCAGATCATCATCGAAAATTATAGGCGTTGTCTTTGAACATATTTGGAACTTCATGGAAAATATTATAGGGATCAGCGCTAGGGATTCCGCTCTCTAATGAGGTAATGGGTTGCTAAATAATATCTGAAGACGTACGCACCTGTAAATATTTGTGTGTAACTCCCACATCCGAGTACATACGACAATGTAATTGGAGTCATTTTAAAGGTCAACCACTCCTCTTGGATACACTATCAACTTCGCGGATCTATATGCTTCACGAGTAAATATATACGCCATAGAATACAAAGTTAGTCATTTTTCACATAAAAGTCAGGGTCCATTTGACCCGCTAAATAATGGCCCATCTTTATCAAAGCAGGCATGCATATTATCTGTCCCAATTCTCTTCTCCATGTAAAATTTCGCGAGGTTCGGGTCATATTTGTGGCCTCTAGATGGAACAGTAAAACCGACAAAAATTAAATATTTGGTCCATATCATCTCCTAAATATTAACCGATCTTTACCAAAAACAATAAGGGTCTTTACTGGCCAAAACCCTTCCTACATGCAAAATTTCGTGAAGATTGATCCATAACTGTGGTCTGTATCGTGTTTACAAATTATAATGGACAGGCGGACAGACGGACGAACGGGCGGATACACATGTCTAGATCGACTCAGTTAGTCGAGATATGATGATCGGTATGCCTAAAGGTGGGTCTAACACCAATATTTCGCGGCGTTACAAACTCTTGTGGCTGCACAAAGCTATAATACCGTGACAACATAGTTGGGTAGGGTATAAATATCCCGCCTTAATTATTATGAATAGTCCTTAAACATGTTCTTTAAAAAATCCACGCTTTGAATAGTTCTTTGGAAAATTATTCTTTTCCACGCAATGATTGGTCCTTTGGAAAAATATTTTATTCCACGCAATGGTTGGTCCTTTAGAAAAATATTCTTTAAAAAATCCACGCCTTATGAAGTCCTTAAGAAAAATATTCTTTAAAAAATCCACGCCTTATGAAGTCCTTAAGAAAAAATTCTTTAAA